ATACCATCACTAAAAAGGGGAGACGTATAAAAATCGCGATGCAATATTACCATTATTTCCCGAACAACACATCACATTCACATGTATCTCTTAAATCCATTACGAAACACTGATTTAATAAAAGTATAGGATATATAAAAGTTTACAATACCATCGTAGATTAAGACTCGATCTTCAACCCCCCTCCAGCTGATGCAGTGGTGCAGTCTGTGAGAGGCAATGGCAGAGGTGTAGAGGGAGAGAGAGAAACCAAGCGTCTTGACAGCTTCTCTTCAAACCCGCACCTGTTAAAAAACTGACCCGAAGACAGCAGCTCCAGAGCCCGCACACCTGAGCCCGGACCCCCCGAGACCTGCAGCTCCGCAGGGCTTTCTCAATCTCAGGTGTGTGTGTTGAGTGTGTGTATATGTGAATGAGCGGCGCTCCGGCTAGCAGAGACGTTAGCAAGAGCTGCTCCATAAACACTCGAGTAATGCTGGAAACACTCCGCGATCTCTGAGAAACACAAATGTACGTGTTTGTTTACAACTATACACTGCTGTTACTCATTAATACGAGTTTATAGTAGATGGTCAGTGTGTGTTTTGTGCTATCATGTCATGGATATGTGAAACTAGGCCTCTGCAGTTTTGGGGGTGACTTATTTAGAGCAAGTGTTAGTGATGTTGATTTGGGTGTCTATGGATGGATATATATTTGCAGAGGAGGTGATTTGTAAACTATTATGCAGTTTGACAGTTTTAGTGGATGTTGACAGTGAGATTTTGATGCTTTCATGTGAGCTGATCTTGTCTGATCTGGCTTTATTCAGTTCATCTTTATTTGTATAGCACTTTTCTCAGTAATTATCATTATAAAGCAGCTTTACTGAAGGTTATTGATGTACTGTTATAGTACTTGTTACATTTTCAAGTCAGCATTTGTGATTTTTAGGATTGGCAGTAGTTTTTATTTAGTTATAACAATTATGTTTTGCTTTCATTTCACTTTTAGGTTGAGTGATTTATTTTAATGCTTTATTCATTTTGATATTGAGGTATAAGTTGGTTTTATATTCGCAAGGTTTTCTTAACAACTTGTGACAAGGTCCCTATATATATATATATATATATATATATATATATATATATATATATATATATATAATTTTTTTTTTTTTACCACATTACTCTGAGCATTCGGTCTGAAATCACACATAAATAAGACTTTAAAACATAATTTAGCTCTAATTAATTAACTGACTGAGCATTATTGTGCTTTGATAGTCGTTGGCTGCTAATATATTTCACTATTTAGAATATGCAATGAATGCCTTTCTGAAATTATCTCAAGGAGAAATTCAGAATGTGCGAATACAAAACCAAATTTATGTCAATTTTGGTTTTATTTCAGTAGATTTCTCTAAAATTGAGTATTTGAGAGGTGATTTTATAGATTATCAAGTGGTTTGACAGCTTAAGTGGATGTTGACAGTGAGATTTTGATGCTTTCATGTGAGCTGATCTTGTCTGATCTGGCTTTATTATCCAGTTCATCTTTATTTGTATAGTGCTTTTTTCAGTAATTATCATTATAAAGCAGCTTTACTGAAGGTTATTGATGTATTATTATAGTATTTGTTACATTTTTGAATCAGCTTGTGTGATTTTTAGGATTGGCAGTAGTTTTTATTTAGTTATAATAATTCTGTTTTGCTTTCATTTCAGTTTTAGGTTAATTTTTGAGGCGATTTATAGATTATCAAGTGGTTTGACAGCTTTAGTGGACGTTGACAGTGAGATTTTTATGCTTTCAAGTGAGCTGATCTTGTCTGATCTGGCTTTATTATTCAGTTCAATTTGTTTAAGTTTATTTGTATAGCATTTTTCACTGTAATTTCATCACAAAGCTGCTTTACTGAAGGTTACAAATTTATTTTTTGGTTTTCTGTGGGATATAACAGTTCTGAGCTACAGCAAATAGTATAATTATAGATGAAATAAGTTTTCATAGTTTAAGTAATTAAATACAATTAATTTTAGTTTATTTACCATTAGAACCTCTTGGTTTAGGTTTGCTTAAATCATACACAGTCACAGGTCTTAAAAACACATCCAAATGAAAATCGTTCAGTCTATTTTAGAGTTAAACTTTGCGAGGACTCCACAAATCACATTTCAGAACTGCGAGTGAAAAAACACAAAAGAAATTTGTTAAATTAATTTTAATAGAGACACAACTGCCAGTCATTTTTACTTTCTTTTTTAAATTAGGGATTAATATTAGAGTAGCCTAATAAAAATGTTTAGTTGGACACTGCACAGTACCACAGTAGTTAACTTCATTAAGTAGTTAACAGTAGTTATATTCATTATTATTAATATGATTAAAATTCAGCCATTAAATTGACAAAACGTAGAACCTTTTTGAATGTTTATTGTCATTTTTAAATCGCTAAAGCGCACTTTTACAATTGTGAAAAGAAACATCCCATTATGCAGCAGCAGTTTCAAGTTAGGACACTTAAAAATGCCTTTTGAGTTTAAAGATGATCGGCCTGCTACAGCGTTATAAATGAAATAGGTAAATAACACAGAGATAAGTTTGTTAACATATATACATGATGTACATTGTTTGGTGTTATGTTTTTACAAAAACTTCCATAAATAAAGTAAAAAAATAAAAATAAATAAATGATTATAATAATAGGTATAGAGTGGATGAGTAAGTGGATTTGCCGCAGATCCACCTCTCACATGCCCTGCAGGTCGGCTGAATGACAATCTTTAGAAAATTAACAATTTAAAAATTAGCAATTTAGGCTACACTGCTATTTGCTCATGCAAAATTAAACAAAAGAAAATATATTGTAGGCCTATTTTAACAGCTAATATACAGTAAGCATATCAATTTTATTTTGATTGGTAAGTTCATGTCCCTAAAAATGAAAATATAACCTGAAAACAAAAGGTTAAAATGGGCTAAATAAATAAATAAAATGACGGGTAGGCCTAATGGCTCATAGTGGCGTTTTTTTTTTTTTTTTTTTTAACAAATGTCAACCGGAAAATTTCACAAAAAAAAAAATTCCAGTTATAACATATCGCATCATAACATAGCATGTATATTATATATATTATGCATGTTATCCATGCCAAAATGTAACTAATTATCAATGTAATAACTGTGAATTGCTTTCTCTTTTTTTTTGAAGTATATGTAGACAGATTCTCTGGTTTGCTATATTAATGTCTTAAAATGCAAACCTAACACATTTAGCTACTATTTTTTGTAAATGATTTTAACATTTAACATATCCTAACACTAATAATGATTGATGAAGCGTGATGACTCTGTTATGCTGATTTCTCTATATTTATTTACCAGTTATACGATTAAAATGCCTCCTCAGTTAGGACATCCTGTTCAAGGCAGCCATGCCTAGAAAGAGTACGCCCTAATTTAGATAAATTACTTTAGTAAATTTCATTTAATTCAGACCCCAACCCATATTTTTATTTTGCTTTAGATGAAATGTACTCACAGTTTTAGTAATCAAAGAATGTACTTTAACTTCACCACAAACTATTTTACCATTGTTAACTCGTGACATTGTAATGGAGACATGTCTTTCTGGTTATTCAACTAAAGTAATATATTGGTCTTTCACTACACAACTATATTGAAGATCAGAAATCTAAATGTAATCATTCTGAAAAATATGAGTGGTAGAGTTGGTTACTGGTTTGATTTGCTCAACATTTTCAGATGATTAGCAGAGGAGATGCTTAGAAAACCTGTTTGGGAACAGTCAGTAGCTCTTTATGACTAGTTCAGTTTTAATTTAATTTGCTTGCTTGCACAAATGCAAAAAATAAGTAAATAAAAACACAATGTGTTATTGTATCAGCGGTGTGTACTGGGCTGTTGTTGGGCCTACTGCTATTTTACTATAATAGGAAGCAATTGAAACCCAAATATCATGAGGTCATAAAATGGTTTAAAAGAAGTCATAGAGGATATAATTTGTCATTTCTGTTTGTTTAAAGTCAGTCTGTTCAGTTTGAAAATGATGGTTTATTGATAAACTGTTTTAGTATTTGTTATTTTTAGTATTATTCCTGTCTTTTATTTAACCCTTGTGTGCTGTTGGGGATGTTTTCATCTACTCTGGGGTGATTTTGAGGCTTAATTTGCCCACAGCTTTCTCTTGTGCTTCAAATGTGATGATTTTTGGTGACAAATCTTATTTTGAGAACATATTTTGGGAAAATGCTTTGAACATTTTTCAAAGACTGAACAATAAATTTACTCTGGGCAAATTGACTGCACTTTCATTATGTTAGGGGCTGTTTTTGCCCCATTGGCTTCCATTATAATCACATTTTTTGATTGCAAAGCCATGACAGCATCAGCATCCTGCATTCTCATCATTTTCCCTATTGAGAAGAGACTAAATTTGTTTTTATTTATTTATTTATTTATTTTTTTTTTTTACTGTTTATCACCAGTTGCAGTGCAAAAAACAAACAAAAAAAAAGAGTAGTTTCTTGCTTTTATATTAAACATAGTGTGTGTTAGTGAGAGTTGATGTGTCTGAGAACATCAAAATAAGCAAAATAAGTGTATTTCTGCACACACACTATAATCTGCTGTTTTACTCCATTGAACTCCATATAAAAGCCAGAAACCTATCTAAAGCCAGGCCTATCTAAAGGGTTATGCTGATGATCAATAGTAGTAATTTGACCTCTTCCAAACAGGGAAAACCATCATCAATCAACACTGCATGATTAAATGCAATGGATACAATCCAAAAAATGTGATTATAATGAAAGTCAATGGGGCAAAATCAGCCAAGTCAATTAGAACAATACACAGAAGGGTAAAGTTTTTTGTTTATTTTCTGTTGATTAATAGTCACAGGACTAATAGGATAGCTATACAAATAATTCATTATAATTAATTTACATCTGCTTTTCCATGTCTTTTCTGTGCAGTTGAAAAAAAAGCCACACACCATGTCCTTAAAGCCGCGGGTGGTGGATTTCGATGAGACGTGGAACAAGCTCCTAACGACAATCAGAGCGGTTGTGATGCTCGATTATGTGGAGAGAGCAACCTGGAACGACCGCTTCTCGTATCCTAAACTGAATTACAGCTCTGTCACAGACACATCTATACGGGTTTGGAGATGTGCAATGACACAACTGCTTCCTCTTTCTTCTTCCTTTTTAGGTTTCTTGTAATTCAATTTTTAAACCTTTATTAAATGTGATATTTTTCAATATTTTATATCAGCTACACTACAGCTCTTTTATTTCTCAGATTGACAGAAATCGATACTTTCATTAGTGCATTACAATGATCAGAATTTCATATTAAAAGGATAGTTAACCAATAAAATAGCGAACTACGTTCCTTTAAACGTGTAATTAGTTATAGTTAGGCCCACACAGAATCTGTGCGTGCAGAGCTCCTCAGATTTCTGCCGATTTTCAGCCCATTTTTGAGTCTATTTATTTAGTTGTATGTAAATGTGTGCAAATTTATATCTTTTCAGTTTTTAAATTCATTTCAGTGATATTATTGACTAATATGAAAACGTTCATATGATTTATATGACAACATTTAATTGCATTTCTGATTGAATGTGAGAAGGCTTAGTGAACATGCTGTAACAAACATTATGCATTATAAAAACAACATTTCCTCTGTTCAAATCTCCTCAACGCGGTCTTCAGTGACATATATGCGCTGTGTGTTGCGTATCCAGAGCCTTTAGGGGAGAAACTGTACACTGAGACGAAGGTGTTTCTGGAGAATCACGTCCGTCAGTTGTTCAAGGTAAGAGTTTGCAGTATTTAGTTTTTCTGTGATTGTATATTGTGATATCAATGCAATGTAACTAGATGAGTTGAGCGAGTTTGATTTTCACTAAGAGATTTTGTAGCAGAGTGAATTGTGCATGAAATACAAACATTAAAAAAAAATGACTAAGATGGATAAATGCAATAAAGGTAGTGATGCATATAAAACAAACAGTGCTTTATGGTTTTGTGGGGAGTAGAGAATCAGGTACAGGTACTTAAGGAATCAAATGTAAAATAGCACTGTCTGTTGTCTTTATAATATAAATAATTCAATAAAATTAACGTTTATTAGTTCCAAAATATGTCATTTCATGTGTCTGAATAATTTAAACTCATCTGAAATGCTCACAGTTTATATGAAAGACATTTTTTAATTGTAATTTTTTTGAGACCAGGCGTTAGCAGACTGTTTATACCAGATGCCGCATTGATCACTCTAGTTTGACACATTTCAGAGAATAATGTTTTACCAACTTGTAAACCACTGTCGAGCCTCTCACTGTAAAACACATCTTATTAGACTGTAAAATAAAAATGTTCTGGACAGGTGTTTAATTTTTTT